GTATCACGAAAGAAAAGATCAGCACCATATTATAATTCTGAAGGAATCAATACTTTAAGCGGTATTACTCTATTTTCTGCAGCAACATTAGGTCTTCATTTTAATCACGCAAGGATTGTGCCATACAAATCTTTCATGTGGAACCTCCTTGAATATTTATTAGAGACAGTCTCCAGAACATCCAATTTCAGAAGCTATTCGCTTTTAGGATCATTGAAAATAGTCTGGAACGAAGTGCTTAAGCGTATTAGGTGGCATTGGGAAAGAAACGAACCTATACCCGATATTAACATATATAACTGGTCTGATAATTCAAATTCATCACTTTTTAATTGTGATAAAGATGCTTCAACTATCAAAAATAAAAATGGTTTATCATTAAATAAAAATGACAATACCGCTGTTGGAATTGATATGCGGTTCAACCTTGTTCATCAAAAACTGTGCATGATTAATTGTTGTATCGAACGTCTACGGAAATCTAAAAAAAATACTTCAACATTATCTACAAGTTTTAATTCATCTAAAGAACAATTGCCCGAAAGTAACTCTTTTGAGTCTATAAAGCCAGATAAATCTTCTGACTTGGATCCAAAAATGACAAGCTCAGATAATTTTCTGGTTCGACTCTTTGATCGTATTACGGAGGATGATGATAATATAGATCCTTCGGCGTCATTGGTATTTGTGAGACCAGAGAATTCAAATGGTGCTACTCACGCTGATATAAGCACGACTACTGCCACTAATGGAGAAAAATATTCGAATGTAAGATTGTATAGTGGTTCACCATTTCTTTCGTTCTAAATTTAATACTTAAATATTTATTTGCAAACCTATATTTATTCTTAGCATGTTCATTCTCGCAGCATAGATTTTGTATCATTGCCTCCAGATTATGATGGTTCTTCAGAAGACGATTTCGTTGATCCGATAAATGAGGTTCCAGCTGTTCCTCTACGAATTCCTAAAAGTTCGAAAAATCATAAATTTAGTTCACGACGGTCATCATCAATTTCCCAGGGTCAATCCTATTCATCCACGCCACCGTCTTTTTCTGATCAATCAGATCCAAACCAAATTTCGTCATTGACAGAATCTTACGTAAAACTTGATTACTCAGCCAGTATGGAGTCGAATAGAGGATTTGATAAGGAAAAACTTACAGTAAACGAGGATGAAGTTTATAGGGAGGTAAATGATGAAAATAGAGTAATACCGCTTAAAGTATTGATTCCTTCAGAATTATAATATGGTGCTGATCTTTTCTTTCGTGATAC